CAGCAGAAATAGTGCACATGTTCCTTATAGGTATGTAACTGATAGTGTTCAGCAAGCAATACTTGCAACGGGAATTGCAGCCAACACCCAAAAACTTGTTTTCTCTCGCAGACTTGTGCTATATTTATTGCAAGTACCTCCTTCACCCTACTCTGCACTCTTGTACATTCCCTGTTAGCATTCTTTGTTTCTACTACTGATCTGCTTTTGACTACAGTAATACTTCTCATACCAAGTCCTAGCCATCTGAGGACATTAAGTGCTATAACCCTTGATGTGTGTGTACATGGCCAAGGATAGGTGATTAGGAAAAAAGAAGGCTAAGGACTGCACAAAAAGGTCTCTCCGTCCATATGTCTTCCTCAATCTCAGAGGCTTCCTATGTTAGGTGTTTTAACTACTATACTTTGCATTTGACAGTTAACCCAATCCGAATAGGTGTATTGAATACCTTTTTGAATGTCTAGGTATTATTATTTTCTCCTGCATCCAATAAGAAGTCTTAAGAGTTCTCCAATAAAGTACCAATAGGAAAAGACAGTAGGAAAGACTGGGAGGGCTGCTGGTTTTGGTTCTGCCCAACCATTTACAGTCTCTTTACCTGCTACCTCTGCGCATTTATGTAGCTCACATTAACCCACTGATAATTCTTTGATAATTTGTGCATTTAGAGGATCTCCTACCACTTATGTCTTTTGTGTAGCTCTTCTGTTAGACCTCATATGCATGTAAGAACTCACCAAGAGACTTGCTCCTGCCTAGCCATAAGACAATCTCATAGTAATGCCGTAAGACCGCTCCAAATAGGATGAAAGACGTATGCTGAGGTCACAGGGAATGACGTGGGAAGCACCCAAAGCAGAGGTGAAGCTGCATAATTTAGAGCTCACATCTGAGTGCTGAAAGGTGGTTTGGAATCATATGGTGCATCTACGGTAGGATGGTAAAATAGGAGAAGTAGTAAGTCCACAGCCTCAGCACCAGAGTTGCATGAGCTTAGTGCAGAGCTAACATGGTACCAACTTAGGTAGGCATGTTTTAAACACTCTTAAAGGACACAGACCATAATATTAAAAGCTTTTGGATCAAAACTTCTTTTTTTAATATTTCCCATGAAATTCTATGCATGGTTGTTGTTGTTCTGAAAGAAAAAAATGTACTCAGTATCAAAAGTAAAAATGTGTGATGAGTAAATGCCATTTATAGGCTACAAATGTCGTAGAATCATAGAATTAGCCAGGTTGGAAAGGACCTCTGAGATTACCAAGTCCAACCCTTAAACCACTACTGCTGTGGTTACTAGACCATGGCTCTAAGTGTCACATTCAGTCTTACCTTAAAAACCTTTATGGACGGAGAATCCACCACTTCCCTGGGCAGCCCATTCCAATGCCTGATTACCCTCTCTGTAAAGAATTTCTTCTTAATATCCAACCTAAACCTCCCCTGGCAGAGCTTAGGACCATGCCCTCTTGTCTTACTGCTGGTTGCCTGGGAGAAGAGACCAACCCCTACCTGGCTACAGCCTCCTTTCAGGTAGTTGTAGAGAGTGATGAGGTCTCCCCTGAGCCTCCTCTTCTCCAGGCTAAACACCAGCTCCCTCAGCCTTTCCTCACAGGACTGGTGCTCGAGTCCCTTCACCAGCCTCGTTGCTCTTCTCTGGACCTGCTCTGGTGCCTCAATGTCCTTCCTGAACTGAGGGGCCCAGAACTGGCCACAGCACTCCAGGTGTGGCCTCATCAGTGCTGAGAACAGGGGAAGAATCACTTCCCTGGTCCTGTTGGCCACACTGTTCCTGATCCAGGCCACGATGCCATTGGCCTTCTTGGCCACCTGGGCACACTGCTGGCTCATGTTCAGCTTCCTGTCAATCCAAACTCCCAGGTCCCTTTCTGCCTGGCTGCTCTCCAACCACTCTGTCCCCAGCCTGCAGCGCTGCAGGGGGTTGTTGTGGCCAAAGTGCAGGACCCGGCACTTGGCCTTGTTGAACCTCATCCCACTGGAATCAGCCCAACTCTTCAGTCTGTCCAAGTCCCTCTGCAGAGCCCTCCTGCCTTCCAGCTGATCAACACTCCCCCCCAACTTAGTGTCATCTGCAAATTTGCTAATGGTGGACTCAATCCCCTCATCTAAATCATCGATAAAGATATTAAACAGGAGTGGGCCCAACACTGATTCCTGGGGGACACCACTACTGACCAGCCGCCAATTGGATGCAGCACCGTTCACCACCACTCTCTGGGCCCGGCCATCAGCCAGTTCCTAACCCAGCAGAGAGTGCCCTTGTCCAAGCCGTGGGCTGCCAGCTTTTTCAGGAGTATGCAATGGGAGATGGTGTCAAAGGCTTTGCTGAAGTCCAAGTAGACCACATCCACAGCCTTCCCCTCATCCACCAGGTGGGTCACCTGATGATAAAAGGAGATCACCATTGTAGATTTTGTTTAAGTTAATACCAAAAGGACTTACATTTAGCTTTCTTTCTTTCCCTGTTCTACGAGAGAAAAATTAATATTACCTTTAAGGAAGTCACAGGTATTTCAGAGGAGGGAGCGATTATGAAGTTCCCAGCATTCCAAATAGAGGTAGTTATTCTAAATAACATCATTCAACCTTCTATATTGCTGTTCTCTTTCAGTACAGACTTTTCTCTCTACAGGATGGAATCTCAGCTGCAAAACATCCAGATCCTAGTTTATGTGTATGTGAATATTTAAGGTTAATATATTCCATGTGGGAGAAATAGTCAGCACCATTCAGAACACATTCCCTTTTCCTTTCTTGCTACAGAGTGGGCTGTTGAAAATGTGCCTTATGAAATTGCAGGTTCCTTCTCTAGTTGCATGACTGAATTCCTTGTTTCTAATTAGAATAAGGTGAAGTACTTCTCCCCATGACTGGATGTCCAGAAGGCAGGACAAACGAGTTTAAATAACTACTCTAAATCAAAGATAGAGAGGATAAATTTCCATCTGTTTTTTTCCCCACATGATAATTTTTGTCCTTTCTGTCCCTGTACAGTGTATGTGTTTTGGGGCTTTTTATACATGGAGCCCAGTATCAATGACTCAAGCAGGTGTCCTAGGTCACAAATTGACTGAAGAGCAGGAAAGACAAGACTCCTGGCTTCAGTTTTCAAGCAAGTCATCCTCTTAGCCAGAGGTAGGTGCCAGTTTGTTGCCAACTTTACTGGATTAGATTAGAAACCTAAGCACAACTTTTGTATGTCCTCTTTATTTCATCTCTGATGGACTTGGGCGAACACTTGGCTGGTCCTGGGGCTGCCCTTCTTAGACAGATCCCATACATTGCCTGGAAGGACTAGTACCTACAGGGACCGGGGGCCTGTGTGTTGGAGTAGGTTGCACTACAACAGCAGTAACACATTTATTCTGTTTTTGAGCTGGGCAGCTGAGAAAGCCCAGCCTGGGTACAAGTTGTGAGATAGTTTCATTTTGCCTCTAAGTATGTCTGCGCACTATGTGCACAGCTGAGCAATTTTCTTGGCCTTGCCCTTTTAATAAAAGGAGCATGACCGGACTGTTAGCCAGACTATCACTGTGTGTGGCCAACTGGCATGGCCACACATTCCTCTTCCTTTGCAGCAACTTGGTCATTAATCTATGCTTCCCAACACACAGACCAATCTTCAAGGCAGCTGGCAGTATCTGCTGAAGCACTGGAAGATAGGGAGCCTTTGGACTGACAGTGTCAAATGGGACCAATAAGGGTGTGCCCAGTGCTGCAAAAACAGCAGACTGAGAGATGTGAGTAGTAGGGTATGAACTGAGAACCTGTCAGGATGAAACCTGTGCACACCCCAACTTCTCTTTCCCCTGTGTGTCCTGGTTTTCACATTGAGGAAACCGGGAATGCTTTAGGCTTGACCTGCAATGCCCCCTGCAGGTGCTGTTGCAGTGTGAGATGTGCCAGGGCTCTGGGGCTCACCGTCTCATGGAATGGTTACAGCCAAGACTCCTCCCTCCTATCTCGGGTAGGCTTATTCAAAACGCAGATTAATTTGCCATGGATTGGCATGGGATTAACTTGCTAGGACTTCAGAACTGACCTCCTATAGCATGGGATAAGGCTTGGCAGGGCTGGTGCTTAGCTGATGCTAAAAAGGGCTGATGGGCACTGGTGACTGCATGCAGTCAGTCCCCCTTTACCCTGCTCTCCAGCACACTCTTCAGCACCTACTGACATCTGACATTTCATTATCCAGTATATCCCAACAGTCCCAGATAAAGACATCAATTCCATGCTGCTGTGTTGATTCAATTCCCAAGCAGCTGGCTGAAGTAAAAAATGGGTTAAGCATTTAGACATTGACCATTATTGTATTAAACCAGGATCAAATTCATTTTTAATCTTTGGTAAGAATTTGATAAAATTCACTGCAGCCCTGAAATATTTTTTACTTTGATTTCCTGTATTCTTCTTTTTAGTTCCCCCAGAATATCCAGCATGACTACAGAGTTCTGTGAATCATCTTGTTCATACTTTACACAGAGGTAATGCTGCCACTGTTCTATTGACCTGTTTACATAGCCAAAGGTGGTGCTGCAAGCTGGTATTCAATTGCTAATATTCTGATTTCCCAGGACACATGTAATACAACTAATTTTATGAATTAAAAAGTGAAGAAATGCCATCAGTTTTTAAAAGTCATATTCCCACTTGGCTCTTCTCATAATCACTGTTACAAGAAAGATTACTGGGATGACTATAGCAATAAAAATAAGAGGGGAGAAGCCTTTTGCCTTAGTCTGGGGATTTGAAAGGTGTTGGGCTTTTTAAATTTATTTTGCACTGGACAGCATTTATGTGTTTGTATATGGTCCGTGCCTCTGCATGCTTTTTATAAACTGCTTCTCCCCAGAAAATATATAAGCCTGGCTTTGGAGTTTGTTTAATGGCATGAGCTGTTTATTAACAGCAGGAGCACACTGCAGATAAGATTGTGGGGGAGGTGACTGAAAAGTAGAAGCAGGATATGATCGAGGACTGAACCTTGGGTCCACCCCTTTTTGCTTATTGTCGTTCTGCTCTTTCCTCTTCAGCTCTTCCTTTTCGTGAGAAACTACTGAACTTGGAATAAAGGCTCCATATTTCCATAGTCATGGCACTCTTTTCTTCCCTCACCCCAGTCTTTATAGCCATTATATGTGTTTTGATTGGGGTAATAATAAAGAAAACTAATGGAGAGAAGGAAAAACGTGACGTTAAAAGCAAGCTTACATCTCGCCCATGGGTGGATGAAGACTTAAAAGATGGTACTGACCATACCTTAGATGAAGAAGGTAAGAAAAATCTTATCCATCTGAACACTTCATTGTTTGAATTTTATCTGCTGACGTGAATAAAGGAGATGTAATCCTCTGGACTTCTCCACAATGACAGCAATGTATAATGCTATTCTGCTGCTGTGCCCTGAGCTTGTCAGCTCCCAGGAGGGAGGCAGTCCTCATGTCATGTCACTGTTGGTGTAAACCTCTAATTCCTCCAGATCCAGGTCAGAGAGCAAAAAGAAAACACATTTTCAAAGACCCCAGTCTGTTCCTCTGAACAGCAGATCTCAAACCTATGAGGGACTTTATGGGCAACGTAAGGAAAGAAAGGAGATCCTGCTAAAGTCCCCCCAACCTCTTCCCAGGTCTTATAAGTGTGAGCAAAGGGAAGACCTGAGCAGACAGTTTATATCTGCAAGTTGATTTTGTAGCCATCTCGTCTCACTTTACCACCCAGTGCTACATATTTGGTCTCAACACCCCTAAAAAGTTGGAAATGGTTTTAAGTCCTCCATTTGTGGCTTCTGAGAATGTCCCTGAGAGCTTTAGCTGAAACTAGAACCATTTGAAAGCTATGTTGATCAAATATTCAAGAACAGAATGTGATGATGCTGCTAATCTGTTCACTCAACTGCCTGTTTGAACCTATACAGAATGACTCTTATTTTCAGTAGCTGTTTCTGATGCACAGCTTGGACAAAAGTCTAAACACTGTATGTACCCTTCCTTGTTCTTGCTTCCTGACTATTCTCCATAAACTGCCTTTATTTCCTTGTGAAATAAAAATCTACAGAGTTGTATTCCTATGAAGCTTTTAAAAGTTGTAGTTAATACAGCTCTCTCTCTTTTTTTTTTTCCTTTTCCTCAAGCTGGCTTCAAAGGCTTTTTGTGGGGATTCCTTTTTTTGGTCCCATAATGACACATTCCCTGACTCCACTTCTAGAAATCTTGAAACATATTGTTCTTCTGTACATATACTTATTTCTAAGATCCATTATTTCTCTTCTTTTCTCAGTGTTCAGTGTACTTTGAGTTAGTGTTTTGTATCAGTTTCCAGAAACAGTTGATACCTGGAACATTTTAAACCATGTTGACTAATTCCCAAATACATAAAATTTCTTTAAAAATTACTTCATGTAATATCCTCCTTTTTTCAATGCAAAATAGATTCTGCATAAAATTATCACATAATCCCTTTGTCACTGATGGCTTGCTAGTTCAGTTAAATTGCTGCAAATTAAAATTTCTGAGGGTAGTTCAAATGATAATTTATGAATTATCATCTCGGACTATGCTTGTTTCTATCAGTTTAAAAATTTAGATCCTCTAAATAAGCAAACCTATTAGTTCTTAACAAGGAACCTCTCTGCCACAGCTCCATATATAAAGTCATTCATTTATGTGCTAGTTGTTAACCATTTTATTCAGGTGCTAAATTCAAAATTGTATTAGTTTCAAATTCCTTGCAAAAAATTTGACAGCTAGACATATTGGTGCTGTTGCTAAAGGATTTATTTATTTTTAAATAAAATCTTTCTCAATTTACCATATCATCCAATGTTAAAATCGGTTTTCTTGCTATTTTGCTTTTAATAATAAATAATTATCTTTCCCTTAATGGTATGTGATTCAAACCATGTCTTTTATCTCTAGAAAAATTAAAATAATTTCATCATGCTCTGGAAAGTTTTTCTTCAGCAGGGAAAAGTCCAGCTTAAGTGAGAAGAGTAGCAATGAGAAGTAGAAGAGCTGGTAAGGATCTTTTGCTAAGTAGAGATCAAAATGTATTCCCCTTGTTAAAATTTAACACTTGTCAGTGTTAAAATTTTCACTGACTGTACTAGATGCTGAAATGGAAACATGGACGTAAACAGAGATTTTATAATAGTAAAGAATATTTTACGTGCTGTGTAAATTCTGCTACTTTATTAACGTATCTTGCAGAAACAAGCTCATTTCTATTTAAATGTCTCAAGCTGGCTTGTATTTAAAGAAAAAGTGCCTCTGAAGAGAATTGGAGTTAGGTGAGATGAAACATTCCTAAGGACTTGTCTAAAGCTAGAATCTAGGGCTGCCCTAGGTGAACAAGCTGAATTTTCAACAGACTCCGGAACAAGAAGGGATAGCTTAAGATCAAGTTGTTTGATTTGTGTCCATTACCAAAACAAGGTCTGTTTGCCAAGCATGTGAAGTACTCTGTAAGAAAAGCACTGACCTTATTTGTAGATATCATGAACCTTCACTGAAGTGGCACCGTCAGGGATGTTTGACCTGAGAGGGGCATACCTTTGAGTAGCAGAGCATTTAGTGTAATTAGCTGAACTGCTTGGGCAGACTCAGTAGGGTCACTTATAGGTAATGAAGGGCAGAAGTGCTCTAGAGCTTGTGTGTGTTCTGCTTTCAGTAGCTGAAGAGATGAGTGTTTCTTGGAGCAGATAAAAACCCAGTTCCTTCACTAGGTGCAAAGCACTCAGTCCATTTGTTTAATGCTTTAACTGGCAGCACTGCAGCTTTGTTTACATGCCTATCTGTCCTGTAACTTTCCCCTTTGTTTATAAGATCCAGAACAAGCGATTGTTGTGCTGTGGATTGGCAAGAATGGTCTGTGTATGTATATGTCTGACTGTGTCTTGCACTAGGCCATTGCACTACCAATTAGATACAGATGAAAAAGATGTTTCTTCAGCCTTGCCTTGAACAATGAGTCAGAAGGACTTTCTAATAGTAGTGGGCATCTTGTCCCAAAGTGGTGGTACCTCATCTCCCACTGATTCAGATTTACACAATTAGATCTGGACTACTTCTCTGAAGATCTTAAAAACCTTCTGTAACTATATTCCAGTGTGAGGTAATTTTCACAATATTTTGATTCTGGCTCCTTTCTTGCAGGGTCTGCCTCTCCACTTGCTACTTCTTTTGCTTAAGATCTATAACCAACTCTTGGGGTTTCCAGGATCAGCCTGCTAGGCACTATTTATAACCCACCAGTAAGGCAATCCATCTCTTTTAGTCCTCTTTTAGCCACACACTCAGTTCAAGATTGGATTCACTACTGGGATTCCTGTAGTGGCAGATTTTGTAGCAGTCTGCCATTAATCAAGCAAAAAACAACAGGGTCAGTTACCCAGAATTTTATGTCCAAAGATCTGAAAGCTTTCTTTGCATTTATTTAATTGTTTTCCTATGCATCCTATTTACACTGGAAAAGAGATTCGCAAAGGAATTTTATGCTTAGGAAGCAATTCCTTAGAGAAGAAACTGAAAGAGCCTGTTTGGAAAGCAAACACATTCCTCTAGACTGAAGTTTCTCAAGGATCAGTTTCAGGACCATTTGTTAATATTATCTAGTGGTCTTTGCATAAAACCAAGGAGGACACATGAAATTTCCTAATGACATACAAGTGGAAGCCAACAATACAGGGAAGTGTCAGTGCAGGTAAAAAAAATGGCCAACAGAAGTGAAACGACAAGTCGTTCTCAGTGTGAGCTTATGTTACCAGGAACTCATGGTAAGGTTCTTTGCTACAAAATGAGGCAAAATTTATTATATGGTTTGTAGACTGATTATAACCTCCCATATGAACTACTGGGAAGATCGCAGTCATCATCCTAAAATGTATCCTGAGAGAAATTTCTGATAGAGTTAGAGAAATAGTACTTCTAAAATGAGATTTCATTAAAATGAGATTCATGGGATGCCTGAGCCAAAACCATTTCAGATTTTCATAAAAGGCAGGAAGCCTGAAGACTACTGTAAATGTACAATGGAATCAATGGCAATCTTGAGAATGTGGGTAACAAGGTAATAGACTTACCAGCAGGATATCTGTTGTCCATCAAGTCATGGAATACACAGAGATGTAAACAAGACACTTGTAGTATTGTATAATGTGACCATACGAACAGGAGTATGTCTAAACACAGCAATTAAAGATATAGAGAGCATGCACTAAACAGATGGTGCTGATAATGATTTTATCTTAGCATATGCATAATGTTAACTGCTAAGAATGAATGGTAGACACATGGTAGAGGAGAATAAATACTAGATGAATTTATTAAAAAAAAAATTGCCAGGAGAGTTTTGATTTTGTGTGTCAGTTCCCTCAATCCTGGGTTCTTCTTCTCCCTCTGCCAGTATTCCCAGTTGGAGGGTATAAAGGTTTTTCATTCTCACTAATTGCCTCACCTTTTTTCCATATTCAAAATCTTTGAAAGTACATTTCTTTTTTCGCCTCATTATTAAGTTGAGGCATCTTGACCAAACAGCAATTGGACTTTTTTTCTTCTCTTCTTCTTTCATGGGAAAAAAAACTCCGCACCACAAAATGAGCACACATTAATCACTACTTTACTAAGTGTAAACCACAAAGGGAACATTAGGAAGAGGCACCTTTTTACTTTTCAGCTTGAGTGTACAAGATGGTCACAAAAATAATTTTTACAGCAGGTCGCTGCAAAAATAATTTTTACAGCAGGTCACTGCTTTGCATTAACGTGGAGCCAGGTCCTTGCAGACTGTGACCAAGAGTGCTCAACAGAGGTATGAAATGCTAAACAAAGAGAATTCTTTGGGTATGCAAAATGAAATGTGTGTTGTTTGGGGACCAGAATAATTCTGTCTAGATTCAATGTATGAAACTGGATTTATTTCACCCTCTTGCACATGCTGAGATACACTTGTGAATATTTCACTGCTGTTTATAAAATGAACAAAAAATCAGCCTGGTCTCTAAGGCAACTTCATACTACTAAAAGACAGAAATAATTGCTGTTTGAATTTGCACTGGAAATTGCTATGATTCTGGAACAATAGTCTAATGGTGACTGAAAAAGAACCGGAATATTTTTCCTGACTCAGCTCTCTGTTGCAAATTGTTCAATACTATCGACTAGTCAAAATGCAGCATTTAAATGGCTTTAACTTCCACATCATAGCTGCAAAAAATGCTATCTCTGCTGATTCTAGGAATAAAGGGCAGAAAGAGATCTCAGAGACAACAGAAGATTCGTTTTGTGATATAAAAAACCCCAGAGAGACAGATTTCAGTGAAACGGGGAACCATTTAGAGTTCTTAATTTAAAGATAAGAAACACGATATCCTATATTTGATATATTGTTATGCTATGTATAGATGCCTGTCATCCATTTTGTCTTATGCTGGAAGTGTTGGGAAACCAAAGAGCTTAACCACAAAGTCACATTTCTGCAGAGCTAAGACTTGCAGTGCTTTGGCTATGAAACATGAATATTGAAGAAGTTGACATTCAGCTCTTCAGAGGAGATTTTTCACATAATGGTAGTTAAGCTCTCTCCTTAACTTCAGTAATTTGACTTTTTTTTTTCTTATTAGACTGCTCAAGAAGGAACATACATATTCATATTTACTTGCTGAGAAAAGTGGGCTGAAGGCCTAGCCAGTTTTTCACTGCTGTTTCAGCTTGTAACCCATTTTTGCAGGCAGGCTTGCAGGCTGAAGCGGAGAAGGCAATGACTTCTTTGTGCATCACACTTGCAACAGCCAACCAGGACCCTCGTGCCTCTTGGTATTTAAACAAGATGTTTATTCAGCAGCTGGAGCTAGGGATCAATGAGCTGTGTCAACTGGAACCTCAGACTTTGCCTTAGGAGTGATGTAGAAGTAAAGTGTACGGCAATGCAGGACAAAGTGCGTTCCAGCGGTGAATGCCAAGGATATCAACAGCATTCTCCAGCAAAAAAATCCCTAACCACTTGTGTTTTCTTGCAGATGTTGATGAAGAGTGGCAAGGACTTGAAGAAAATGTTGCCCATGTCCCCTTCACTGCAGAGCGCTACTCTGAGGCTGAAATGATTAAAAGGTCACAGACATTTTATGAGCTTCTAAATAAGAGGCGATCTGTCAGGTTTCTTAGTGATGAGCCGGTCCCCAGGGAGGTTATCGATAATGTCATCAGAACAGCAGGTATGGTACTGAGTGGTTCATGGTCTGAAAAAAAACAAAAAAAGGATCACCATTGTTGTTCAACTGCTTAACTGTGAAAAGGTGGTGTGGAAAAGCCAAGAAAATTGGCATTTTGCTTATGGTTTTACCAGATTCACCTGTAACCGGGATGAATTAGCACCCATTGATTGATCAGAAATTACTCAGCTTGAACAACAAACAATATGTCAGGGAATTGTTTGGAGCATTCCCAATTCCTTTGTATTTGCAGTTCACCCATAAGGGAAGAATAGCATTTCAACACCATGAAGCAAAACACTTAATTTTCAACCTTTAAAAGATGCTATTTAAAATGAAATTTGTGTATGGTTTAGTGAGACATCTTTCAAATAGAAATATTAAAGTGTTTTCTCTTAAAAATATCAAACCATGTGTACTTCACATGCTTTAAAATGCAATGCATTATAATATCCAGTGTGGGTTTTGATATTTGGGTTCCCCCCACATAGTGATGAAATTTTCTTAGGCAAGCAAAATATTTCAGGTGATGTAAATGGTTGGGGTTTATTATAGAGAAAGAATTTCTGTCTAGAACAAAAAACCTTTTCCAGTTCTTCTGACATCAGTCCAGATCCTCGTTGCATATGACTGGAGTGTTATGGTGAGGAGCCTGATCAAGGTTATTTGGTGGAATGTCAGAAATTGATTATTTTGTTGTTGTTGAGAATTTATGCATTTCAAATCATTACTGTCATGTCCTGGCCTAATCTCATCTCTGCTTTAGTAACATTGACTTCAGCCAGAAGTGGTTTTGACCCTCATTATTTCTCTTATTCTATGAGCCAGCTGCTCCTGCTATAGAAAATATTCCAGGCTGCCTTAGAAAACAGCTCAGTGGCCTTTAGCAGGATTAATAATATAAAGATTCTCAACATTTGAGGTGCATTGTTTTCCCTTTAAAAACTGTAAGCAGCTTTGCTACTGCACTGTAACGAGTCTCTGTCTCCCTCTAATTAACTAGGAGTCATTAAAACACTGAGCATGTTTTGGCAAAAGCAGCAAAGCGAACAAGCCTGGCGTGCAGATGAAGTACTTAGTAATCCTGAAAGCTTTGGGCTGTGTAGAGAAAAAGAAAACAAAATAAAGCATAAATGTCATCAGTTTTTACCCAAACCTGAGGAGAGGCAAGGTTCACAATATAAAAACATTTTAATATATAAAGATAGTTCAAGCTGCTTATTCAGTGTTTCTCAAGCTAAAATCAGTCCTTAGGTAAGCAACTATTGTATGTGTTTAAGATCTTCAAATATTTTTAAATGTGTATGAGGGATCAGAGAGATCTAAGCAGTCTTTTTAACCCATATATATGTGAATCTGTGCAGATAACTATATCCTTCAGCTTCTGGTTTTTAACCTCTAGGCAGTTAAAATATTCTCCTATGGTGGTGGTGGGTGAGCAAGTGCAGACTTTATATGTGCACACCTACATACACCAGCAGCCTTTGGGACAAAAACCTCAAAGCTGTATGCTATATGGCAGATGTCTTTGTTGTGCAGCTCCTTATCTTAGTCAGTCAGTGACAGGTTCCTGCGGGTGGTCACTTAGCCTTGTTTCCCTGAAAGCCATTAGTTTTGCCCTTTAACTAAAATCAGGTCTCAGAGTTGGCTGCATATTCAGACAGTGCATTGCTTTCCGTATAATTACTATGGGCATATATTGCACCATGTTACCATTTCATCATAAGAACCAAAAGGAACTTTTAGAAATCCTTAACTTACCCTTCCTGTAAGATTGCTGTATGAAAGGACTAATCTCTGTCCTTGAATGGGACTTCTCATTCTTTAAGAAAGAAATAAACAGGATTGTCTGCCAGAACTTGCCTCAGTCCTTTTCCTCCCATCTCATTCACTTGCTTTCCCATCACTCTTGGTCAGCCTGAAAGCTCACAAGGAATAGCTGAAACCTCTCACTGCCCACCCTCCTTCCTGGGTTTTCATCTTTCCCTGTTTCTGTATGAAGGTACTTCACCTAGTGGAGCACACACTGAGCCCTGGACCTTTGTGGTAGTGCAAGATCCATATTTAAAACGTAAGATTCGTGAAATTGTAGAAGAAGAAGAGGAAATCAACTACAAAAAAAGGATGGGAGACAGATGGGTTAATGACCTGAAAAGATTCAGGTATGAAAAGTCAATTGGCTAAGGAGTTTGAAAGGAGATATGTTTTAGTCTAGGAAAGACTTATATCATTTTCAATTTCTTCTTCCCTCTCATTTTTAATATATTTCTAAGATTCACACTTGGAAAGAAAAACTTATAAATATGCGTAGAATTTTGCCTTGGTGGCTGGTTCATAAAATTGCTTCCAGCGAAAGGTTTTATATGCTCTCCATCTTGAAAGTTTTCCAAGCATTTGGCTCCATCATTATTTTTTCCTGTGTAACCTCTGTTGCTGAAACTCTTGTCCCAGATTTTTCCTGTTGTTTGCCAAACAGTGAAGCTCCCAAAGTCATTGGAAGCTTTGCTACTGACTGAGGTAGCCCCAAGGCTTGACCCTATCCAAGTGCTGAATTATGCAATATTTAATTGTTCCAAATGCCCTCCGAAGTCTGACTGACTTGCTTAACTTCTCGCAATGGGAAGATGTTTACCGAGTCTTGGCTTGTCAAATGAAACATATGCACAAAGCTTTGTAGGGTTTATTTGCCCTACCTATTTCATAATGTTATTTTACATGTGCTTAGGTGCTATGCAAATTTATGTGCTATGCAAACAACTAAACCTCAGTATTTTTTATATTTTGAGTGCAAACAGTAGAAAGTGCACATTTTCTTCTCTAAATTCTACATCATAATTAATATATTTAAATCGTCATTTAAAAAGTTGGGAGCCAAATGAATTCTAACAGGGCTGAAATACTCAGAACCAAAGTAACATTTTTTTTTTGCCATGAGAATGCATTTAGGTTTAGATCGCAGACAAAGAAGTTTTGAACTTTTTTGCCAGCAGTTTTCCCTGCAATCACAAAAAAGTTGGCACTGCTAGTAGCAAGCAAATCTGTAAAATTCCAGGAATTAAATAATCTCACAGGCAAATGCCCATGAGGCCAGTCATAGATAAGAGGTAGCTTATTTGTATGCAATTCTACTCTTCAGAGTGAGCACATCAGCTCCTCAGCCAAATTTGTTAAAATTGAGAACTCTATTCAAGCTTTTTTTTTTCCAAAAATGTTTCTATTTAAGCTGATAATACTTAATCCTTTGCAGTAAATGTTCTAAGCTTTAGTCTACTGCTATAATCGTCATGTACCTTTAGTGCCCCTCTGCAGACAGTAAATGTGGCTTATTGGAAAGTGAAAAGGTTGCAAAATAAATGTCTTAAACATTCTTTTGCAGAACAAACTGGATCAAAGAGTACTTGGACACTGCTCCATATCTGATCCTCATTTTCAAGCAGGTATATGGGTGGCTTCCAAATGGCAAGAAGAAGACGCATTACTATAATGAAATCAGCGTTTCTATTGCCTGTGGTATCCTGCTTGCTGCACTGCAGGTATGTTGACAGAACCAACACACTAGGAGTCAATTTATTAGCTTGGACTACATACCAAGACTATTCTACCCAAATGAGAGTGGAACCCAATTTAAATTTTAACATTATCAGTCCTCTGGAATACTCCAATTCCTGGCAATATGTCTTAGTTTTGAGTTTTAAAGTTATTCCATATAGATCTATATCTGAGAAGGTAATTCCTGTCATCAGTACTGGTTAACAAGAAGAAAAATGTAATGCAGCTTCCAGAGTTGTCACTCTTTTCTAGGCACAGACTTCAGCTCCTGTGGTTTCTGCCTTATGCTAACAGGGCTGACAGGCTCTGCAAACTACCCAAGCATGGCTGTGTGGTGCCACACTGGCCCCTTTTTTTCAGTAATCCCTAAAAAACAGCCTGACACCAAAACACTTTTAGTACACAATGCTGGAAAAAATAAAAAACTAGGGACATACTCCACAGAACAGGCTGTACTATTTCAATCAGTCTTTCCAAGGCGTTTCTAAAAGTGAACTGATTTCTAAAGCTCAGCATGTTTGACACCAGCCAGTTAGATTTTCTCAGTGGTTTCTCAGTGCTCAGTTCTGCTTCTTGTATCTGATGTACTCACACAAGTGTTTAAATAGCAAAGCTATTCTGATAGTTAACTTGGCCTGTCAGCAGGATAACAGTAAGGTGCCACCTTTTATATTAGGCCAATTTCCTACCAGGCACTGCCATTTCTCCTCCATTCTGTTTTGAATGACACTTCCTTTCGTGCATTGCTGCTCCTCAGGCACCATTTAGCATCACCACTATTAGCTCTTCTCCTCTTGAGAAGATCCTAGAGATTACAAAACATGAGAGGTGCATTGCCTGAGCACCTTTCTCTGGCTGACTTTTATAACTCAAAGACTCAAAATTCTCACATTACATATACGGAGAGACTGAAATCCACATATGCAGTTGTCAGGAAGCAAGTCAGCTATGTGCTTATACCTTGGATGATGTCAGCTTTTTATTGTTTGTCAGATTTTTTTGGTCTTTTGTGAGATTTTGTATGAGAGGAGGACTGATATATAGACCTACTTTGCAGTTCTGATATAAGTTGTAACAATGGCCATTGTGAAAGACAGAAACAGACTCCTGTAGCAACTTTTGACACAGTGCCTGTGCCCCCTTTCCCTGTAGGGAGCAAATGTTCACAAAGCTGTAACGTATCTTCCTGTCAGCTCTATGGAGGCAAGAACTGAAACATTTCTCTGTGCAAGCCAGGTCATAGAATCAGAATAGTTTGGGTTAGAAGAGAGGTTTACAGGTCACCTAGTCCAACCCCCAACTCCATGGGATGATATTCCAGTAATATCCCCACAACTGCCTCTCAATTTCAGTGTAACCCTGGGTCCCCCTCTACGTGGAGCATTGCAGGCAGGCTCCGGCTGTATGGCACACAGACTTGGCAAGCAGAATGTGCCTTTGCTGTGGTAGAGAAAAACTGCACTTTTCCATAAGCAAAGTAGGCTTCTTTTATGGTACCATTAAGGCTGTTAGTAAATCATGTGTTCTAAAGACTGCAACAGGATCTAACAGAGCAGCATTTCTGGGCTAGTCAATAGGACAATACAGGTGTGGTGGGAACAACTGCTACACATACAGAGTACAGACCTCTGTCTCACTCTACTGCTGTCTGTCTTGCTGCAGAATGCAGGTCTGTACACGGTGACCTCCACACCCCTCAACTGTGGCCCCCAGCTCCGGGTGCTGCTCCAGCGCCCAGCAAATGAGAAGCTACTCTTGTTGCTCCCTGTTGGCTATCCCAAGAAAGATGCTACTGTGCCTGCGCTGACCAGAAAGCCGCTGGAAGACATCATGGTGGTCATGTGAGCCCAGTGCCAAGAGGAAGGAGGGCATCCCTGCTGACAGCTAGGAAGCAGCAGCCTGATGAAGTTGTCATTGCTGTTTCTTTGCATCATCCCCCTATGTCACTGTTGCTCTCTGGCAGTTTACATCTGTATTTCTTTTAGTGCTACTAACAGCAGTGAGCAATCAAGCGCTGTGCATTTGACAGGTGCTGTTACTTATGAAACCAGGCAGTTGTTCCAGGGGACAATGGCATTTAAATGACCTTCATCACTTGATTTTTCTCATGCACTAGGGGGACAAATCTTTCCTTGAACTGGAATATATATTCTTCTTATACTTTTCTGATTGCCATTACACAGTTATTTTAAGAATTTTAATGAAGGTTGTATTAAAAGATATAAAGAGGTCAGACTCAGCTGGTGCTGCCGATCCCTGTGCGGGCAGAGCCCCCTCGTGGGGCCGCAGGTACCGCCGGCGCTGGGAACAGCGCAACGTGAAAACGCTGGGAGAGAGCCATCCTTCCTGCAGGTCTCTGTTCTGTGAAACACTTCCCCACACTGATCTCTGCTGCAGGCAAATTCAGCCAAACTGGCTTCAGCCCTCCTTGGGCGTTGGTCGAGATGACCCGCTGCTCCTTGTCTGAAGTCTAACCTGTGCTAGAGGAAGGTGTCCCTGCCCACAGCAGGTGGATTTGAGCTAGATGATCTTTCAGGTTCCTTCCAACCCAAACCATTCTATGATTCTGTAATTCTATAAGTCAATCCCATTTATTATCACCTGTTGTCAGCCTAGCAAGTGGAGGGGATAATATTTTACAGAGGTACAGATTTTAGCCATGTCAATGCTTCAGCCACCCAGTGGGAAAAACTATTTTTCTCTTTAGCAGACCATTTTGCTGTATTTAGCAGGCATGCCTAAATGTGTTCACCTATTGTACTAATCTTGTTTCACATCCTCAGTGATACAGCTATGGCAGGAAGCTCTTAATGCAGGCCTAATCTAAAATGAGCTCTTATAACTAATATAAAATAAAATAAGGAAGTCCTGTGTCTACACACTTGCAAGGTCTAAAAGGTAGTCAGGGAGAGAGGGATGGGCTGAACCAAGCCAAGGCTGACCAGCTACAGGTGCCCGGTTATCAGGAATACATTTTAAAGTCACTGTTCCAAGTTTTCCTTCTGTGCAGATGCTACTCTGCCACATCAAGCCCCTTCACAAGCAGTTTTTACGTGCTGTAAAAACTATGTTTGTTTTAATTCAGAGTTCACATCAATAGAGGGAAGATGAATCTCTGTCTTGTTGCAACCTCTCCTATAACTACAGAAAAAAACTGCTGCTTCCTGGTCTCAGTCTGCAAAACACTCAGAGAAGATTTACCAAATGAATTCAGTTTCAAATAGCAGAATCTTGCATATATAAGACTATTTCTAGTATGATTTCATAATTAAAAAACAAAGAACTAAACCAGTTTAAAAATACACAGAAAATTGTCAAAATAACAAGCATTGGTATATACCACTTATACTTCTTTGTGCCAAAGAAGATTAATGGTGCTTTTTTCCCCTGTGTTGATTCTGGAAACTAATATACATGTAGTAGTTGAAAAACTCAAGCCCTCACACCCTCACACCAACTAAGTCAAAAAGATTCTTCTTAGATCATGAAATGTAAGTAAAATAAGCTTCTTTTCTTTTTTTTTTCCCCTCCCGTACAAATGCTTATTCAATCAGAAATTCTTCAGTAGTATTATAGCTGCTGGTGATATTGCAGAGTTTCTTGTAAATCATGCTAGTGTTCCTGTAGTGACAAGCCTACTTAGAATTGCAAGTGTTCTCTAATAAGTGCACTGTCTTTACTATTTCACAATTAAATAATAATAAATTTTGCCTTTCCATACAGCACATTATTAAAAAAAAAGTTAGCATTTAAATAGTTTTACACTTAATAACCAATACCTCTATGGTATTTGTTCAATTTCAAGGTAAAAAAATGTTTTTCTGCTATCTAATTGGAGTTTCCCATATTTCAACTTGTGTCGGTTGCCTCTTGGCCTGTTGCTATGCATCTGCAAGAGAAGTCTGGCTTCATCTTCTCTGCATCTTCCAATCAGGCAGCTGCAGACAGCAATCAGGTTTCCCCATTTATGGGATTTTTCTTCCTTGAACTGCGTGAACAAATTTGTGTGCATTCAAGGATTCTCACTGTCTGAAGTTTGTCAGACAAACAGGCTTGAAGTCAGGTACAACACAGTGGGTTGCATCACAGCCCAGATGATTAAAGGAATAAGTATCACATGTTGTTGGAACCATGGCAAACTGCTCGTCTCCTCCCTCTCCATGGATGACTAAACTGGCATTGGTTTTAGTATGCCCTTGAATACAGAGCTGTAAGGTGTTGCAGTTCACCTGGCACCTCATTAGCAATCCAGCTGGCCATCAAGTGTGGCAGGAAAGCATTACCCCTGGGTAAGAACCCAGTCCACCATCTTCCATTCCAGACAGGTGAGCCAGAACCCAAATGACTCTGCTTGAAAATAAATATTTTTTTAATCTTAGTGATTCAAAGGTTTGAGGAAACTGTTACACTGGTATATATGCTATCTCCTTCATAGCTTAGAACTCACCTATGTGACTGAGTGCAAGACTCCCATAAACTAGCTGGGCTGTAGTAACCATCTAAGTGAACAGCTCTCTGCTTGAAGAAAATAGCAGGTTGTCAGCATTTAGCTTCTTTGCAAACAGTTTAAAGCTAAGTGTTGCTATCTTACATTTGATGGAAATCACTGCCCAAGAACAGCTACTGAGCTGGTCTGAGCTGGTGCACAGGGAGGTCCTGTAATTTACCAGCTGTGTATTTGACCATGGGTAGAGCCTTCCCCAAATCTTCGTTTGCGAAACCTAGCCATGATGATGACGATTTGACCATTTCTTACCATATAAATTTACACTAGTACAATAGAAGTAAAGCACCTTTTAGGTGCAAGGAAGTACTAACACGGTGCTCTGTAGCCCAGATGAACAGAAGCATGCAAGCCCCAAACTCAGGTTGTGGTTTTGCTTTGATTAAGTTGCAGCACTTCAAAGATATTTAAGCAAGTAGATGTGCAGTCAGCATCTGATTGATTTATTTCCTTAATTGCTACATAAACTTGGGCCCATGAAAAATGAATCTTGAGAAATAATCCAGCTTGCACTCCAAGGCAGGATCACTTGTATTTGAATGCCAGGTACTGACAGAACATGAATTCACAGTACTAATCCACTGCTCCCAGCAAAACACTTGAAAGAAATAAAAACTCAAAAGCTAATTCTGCCAGCACATGCAAGTCCTAAGAAGTTTTTGTTTCCAGAAGGGCTCAGCCTTGGCTTCTTGTTGCTGTCACTGATGAGACCTCCATGGAGATCATTAGGAAGAGGTTGGCTGCTGTATTTTTTTGAAGATTTCCACCCACCTGAGCTTAGCCAAAGAACAAACTACAAAAGTAGAACAGATTCATAACTCAGAACTCTCAAGGCATTTAATTATTGTTTTGGCTAGCACTACCAATATCAGACATCTATGAGAGCCCAGTCTTTGCCCATATAGACAGAACTCTTCTATGCTTGTGGATTGTAAATAATGAGAACACTTAAAGGCATGAAAGCTGGGCAACAAAATCCATTCAAATTTAAGATGGAGGAAAGTTCTTGAAGCTTGAATCAGTGCAGCAGCAAGTTACCAGTTAAACAGCACATGCTGTTACAGGTTTTGTGTGTTTAATCACTGTTAACCTTAGCTACAAGATTGGAACTGAGTTGAACTAGTTCTGGTAGAAACAACGAAGGCAGTCCAAGACTCTGGTGACAGTCTAAGGCATGGAGAAAAAATACTGATCAGTGAAATGGGTAATGACCAAAACCTCAAGGCATGAGTTACCAAGTTTTTCAAGACATAGCATTAAGAGAGGTTGTGTTTGAAGGATTTTTAAGAGGTAACCTATGAAGCTTGGAGTTTTTTATGAGGAGCTATCCTGTGCCTGAGGGTGAGTTCTTGTCTGTTACTAAAGATCTTGTCATTGAGATCACAAGTGACTCAGCTTGAAAGGGTGAGACCAGAGTTGGACAGTTTTGCCCTACAATATGATAGTGTTTGTGAAGTTATCCTGAGGAACACCTCTTGCAAATATTAAGTTCAGAGTGTATATATTGGGAGTCAGATAGTGACAAGCACAGCTGTGGAGACCCACAACAGTCACAGATATGCTTCAAAGAGAGGATCTGCTTTAACAGGCTGAATTTTTTTCCATTGGATATGCAGTAGAGACACTGGTCTGTAGATTATGCACTGGATTTTAATGAAGTTTTTGTGTTATTGTTTTTGTAGTGCAAATTTTCAAAATATCAGAAGGCTTTTAGCATCTTCAAACTATTCCTTTAGCTCACTCATAGGATGGTAATTATTCATTCAGCCTGCAGAATTCTCTGTGCAACCAATGCCAAGGTACCACTCTTAGATAAAGAGAAATATGTTCTCTAGCAACTTACTGTGAAAGACATCTCTAAGCAAGTAGTACTACCAGGTGCAAGGGGCAACAAGGACCTCCTGGGTTTGCCTTCCTGGAATAAATAAATATGAGATGTGATGTAAGTCACCCTTTTTTCAGTCTGAAGATCTTAGGCTGCTTTTGATAACAGCGTAACCTTTGTGTAGCAGTAAACTTGTTTGTTGGGCTTTATGACAGCAAAAAAGAAACAGAGGAAGACAAGCCACAACTACTATGCAATGCATAAGGAGTCAAAGAGCTGAAAAGAAAAAAAGCTTTCCTATGCTGGCCAGTATGTTTGTTCCTGTTTGTAAGCTGGAATGCATAAAATTTAGAGCTCACCAAATTTCAGGATATTATATGACTCTTGAAAAAATCTGTATCACTCCTGGAATTACATGTAAAAGCTACTAATGAGTGATGACTTAGCTGCTGCCAAGCAGGACAGTTCTGGCACCACTCCTCTTTGGTGTAGGGCCTTTAATTATTCAGAATACTTCTTAGACTTAATACAATACAGCATCTCATTCTCTAATTTTGGTCGCTATTTCCCTTTTTGCTGGAAAATGAAGACGGAGCACATGAAGGGAGAAGAATAATTTTAAATTCAGTGAAACATTCATCAAAGCAAAAAGGTGGTATAATCAATAAGCAGAGTTCTGGACAGTTATATGTAGCTTTATAAATTTAAATTTTAAATAATCGCGTATTTTACACAGTTTTGCAAAGGTATAAAGTAAGAGCACCCTCGACTTTAAACCAGGGTGAATTATCAATAAACTTTAGTAGTAGCTGGTCCTGAAAGAGAAGAAAAACAAACTTCAAAATTACTAATTTAAACATTAATAAATAGACTATCTATTTAGCAATCAAAAGCCACTGGAAATACTGACTCATTTTGATTAATTTTCAAAAAGCATGAAAAGAATTGTGATTATTTCCTTTCACTGCTTTCGAGACCAAAGTAGCATATGCAAGTGTAATCACTTGAAAGAGAATTAGGATCTGTTTCATGCTGAACTGTATTTCAGATTGTCCTTGAAATGAGAAATTGTATTTCCAAGCTGTCTACTAGCCAGGATGTCAAGGCGACAACTGGTCATCTATATGTGGGATTCCAGATTGTGTTTCAGCTTAAGGATATGTTATGTACTGAACAGGGCCTGATAGCTCATTTCTGTGGCTCAGTGAGGTCTGAGACAAACGTGATGCACAAACCTTAAATACATTATGCCTTGCATGTCTCAGTTTGCTACAATAGCATCATAAATCAGAGGTGATCAATGGATGGTACCAGATGGAGATTTCTTGCTGTGACCACGAACTCTGGCTGTGCAAGTATGTGTAGATGTGCACGCATAAATGGTGTATCTATACATATAAAGTATAGGTGAATAATGTGGCACAGCAGAATTTTTTTCGCCTCAAGTGGTTGCAGTTTTGCCACTTTCCCAGGAAGGAAATCTTAGGCAAAAACCAAACATTGCTGGTTTTGGAAAATAGCAAATTAAGTCTAGGAAAAAAGCTCTAAGGCCAGAAGGACTCTTAAAAAGTATCTTGCTTCTTACCAGAAAGTAGGAATGTTTTATACAGGATAACCTTTAAGTACTGCTTCTTCCTTCTACATGGTACAACTTGAGTGCCGTCATGATGCTGTTTGTTGTTTATCCATTTTCTCATGTTCTTGACCTCAATTTCTTTTCTGTCCTTCATTTCACATGTCACATTTGCTATAGATATTTTTTGAGCTTTGAGCATGGCCTTTAGTAGAAACACAAAAAGTAGCATTATATACAACCCAAATGGTACTGAACATCTCATGAGTTTGACTACTTCAGGGTTTTAGAAGCTCTAAGGCTACTTGTACTCTGTTTACAGTAACTGGATTTCTTCAACTTAGCATCCCAGAATGAGAACTTGATCAAGTTGGATCCATGTTGTTTGTATGCTCACAGGTCTGACTTCTCCCTGTGTTGTCTCGTTACTGACTAGATTCAGAACAAAAGCTGACATGTAAGAAATATGGGTAGGTGTTTTGATTCTAACCTTCAAGGTGGCATCTTTCTATATAGCTGCTCTTCTGTAATATCAAATAATACCTGATGGGGAATTTACTGCAAAGAGGACCAGAGCTATAGCATGATTCTTAGGTTTTGTGTTTGGGTTCTGGATACAGATCTCAGCCCTTTTGCATTACACAGGGTAACACTTTATGTGTTACCAACTTTCACTATGCAGCAGTCTGCTCTGTGTGGTTTTAATAACAGAGTAGAAATATCATCTTTTCCAAGCTATGGTCAGCCCACAGAGGTAAATGACTTGACCTTCTCATACTTAATGGCACTAAGGAGGATTTTAGGAAGGATGCTGGAGGGGCATCTTGGGAAATGAAGTCCCGAAGTACTCTCTTGCACATGGGTAGTGAGATACCCATGGTGATTGGTCAAGGGAGTCACGTGTAGCTTTGAGGTGCATATAAAAGGTGATGTCTCATTTGAATAAAGGGATTTGGTTGCTGAACCGTAAGCCAAGCTGGGTTCGTATGGATTTATTTATTTATTGTATTAATAAGCCGTAATATATTGATTCCATTAGCAAAGCTGGTAAGTTGAGAGTTTCCCACATGTAACTTATTTCTGTTTAAAGGTTGCGTAAATTTACACTTGAAGTACACATGCAGAAACATTTGACAGAAAAAAGCATGGGTACTATGCAAAATGTGTTGAGCTGGCAGAAGAGCCAAGAAAACAGTAAGAACAGGTCAGTAGCAAGATCTTAACTTTTGTGTGCTTATTTCTACTGTGATTTTTCTCTCTATGTGGGTGCAGCACCTGAATTCCATTAGATATGTAACAAAAAGCGATTCTCACTCCCAAGTTTGTGTTTTCCTTTTAGCTGGATTTGTTATGTTATCTGTTTATAATTTGATGACAAAACACAAGTAGAAGTATGAATCAGCTATTAAACAAAGGTTAGAGCAAACTGCTGTCAACTCTTGTCTGTTTTAACTGCCACTGGAAATCTGGCAGGTACCTCCTTTCCTACAAATCCAAGCGAATAACACACTCTGTGAATATTACCCTCCCATAATTTACTAAATTGTTCATGAACAAATTTCAAAGTTCAAGAATGTAATTATTTGGAATTAGTAGTGAATTTCTTTAACACACAATTGATATTCTGTGGAACATTTGATTAGCAGCTGAAAACAGTTTGTAACTAATGCTGTAATTAGCTAGCACAGTATTCACTCCATGTGAGACTGCAGTGTTATAAAGTTGGGTAGACCCAGAACATAGAGCAATGCAGCCTGACTTCTAACTAACTTACACAGAACAAATGTTTTGTAGGAGAAGACTGCACGTTCATCTGCAGAATCAAATATAGGAGATTTGCAACCAGGTCTGGATCAGAAATTTCCTCAGAATTCATCTGCTTTTCATGGTGTGCTGATGTCAGCTGCCTGTAGACTTCCAGTTTTTGGTTTTTCATCTCACTGGAGGGACAGGGTAGAATGGACTAAATGTGACTGATTTGTGAAAATCCACATGGAGAGTAGCCATGAATGGTGGAAGATCCTCTGCACAAATGCCTATTATCTGTGGAATGTTCTTTAGAGCATGATGGTCCCTCTTGACTGAAGGCTGATTTTTTTCACCTGTACAATAATGCAGCAGACCTCTCTTGTGGAGGCATGTTTTTCCTTTCTGCCCCTTCGATCCAGTAGAGCAGTCCTCCTGTGAGCAGCTGAATGGGGAAATACGATTTTCTGCATGGATTATTCAGAGTAAACTGATGTAATAGGAGGCAGTTTTGCTTGCAGACCAGTATCTTTGCCCAGAATTAAAATACCTTGTGTAAGAAAAAAATAAATAGTGTTTTAAATAATCTTTCTTTTCTTCAGATGTTTTAAGAACTGCATACCTAATCTGGCACTCTTGTTCAGCTCTCTAAGGGCTGAATACATAAATGCAATTCCGTTGTTTAGCTTCTCAGATTATTCATACGGAATGAGCTTTCCCTTGACCTTTTGTACATACAATCATCTTTTTTTATCCAGCTGCTTCTAATTGGCAAGAAAATACGTTAAGTGCTCCACCACGTTTGCTGACTTTCTCTGACTACCACTAGATGGCACGAGAATACCATGTAGGAACAGAGGACCTTAGCTAGGAAATGAGTTGGCTCCTAATATCCCCTTGCTCCTGTTACCTTTAACCGTAGTCTGTTACCCAAACTACAGGTCTACGAATATGCATCTGCAAAGTTTTATCTGTGATCAAAAAAGGACTGCACAGAAAGTAAAAATTTTTCATGTACTTAAATGGCTTAAGAGTTGACTATAAAGGCAAAGGACCAGACTCACTTATCCAAGCTCTGAGAGGCTTAGGTAGGTGGGATTTTTTTTTTCACTGTAGAAAGGACCCAATTTTATCTAGTCACATTGTCATATACTTTTCAATGATATAGACACAAAATTTCATGTTAGTCATCCAGCAGGCTGTCATGTTCTCAGGTGTCTTTAAGTAAGAAAATGGTCACAGCCATTTCCTTTCACTGAATTAATTCCCCGTGTATTTCCTTTTCTCTCCTGTGGGTCTTCATACTTGCTTCCAGAACTCTGCAGTCACGGCTGGCCAGCAGCTAAGGCATAACACTCAGGCAGTTTTTTCTCAAGGAGCAGATCCAGCTCCAGTCTACTCAGAGGCTCTTACTTGTTCATATGAAGCACAAGGCATGGTTTGTCATCTGAGTAAGGAGTGTAGAGTTTTTTAATTTCTGCTGTTTGCCTGAGAGAAGAGGGAGATCATTCACTTTTTCTTTCTCTTCAGATACAGATAAGTCATGAGGGAATTATGCAACATAAACATGAGAAGAGCTGTGGAGGAAAAGCTTTCCCTCTGTCTTCTCCCATCTTGACTCTGAAATAAATCTTCATTTACTCTCTATTTGAAGGATTTTGGAATGAGCTGTGTATGAAAACTAGAACTTCCTCTTTTTCCATAAGCAGTGTGAAAATTAAGCCTGGGACTTTAAATAAATTGTGAAGTAAGTACAAGTCACCTTTTAATATGGAGTGTGGTGGCCTTAGAAGCCTAATGGGAGATGAAAGGGCAAAAAGGTCTGGGAGTGAAGCACAGATTTGAAGGCATGTCTGTAAGGCTGTGTTCAGGCTAGAGCTGTTATATAACAACAAAGAAATTACATACTGGGGGAAGGTAGGCAGGTGCAGAGGAGTTATTTGGCTGCCCAAGCAGCAAGTCAGTCAGATACTAACATCAAATGAAGGAGCATTCTCCTTATTGAAGGTTCAGCCAGGTAGCTAGAACCAAAGACTGGAACTCCTGCCTGTCTAATAGTGGATAAATCACTTAACGTATTTTTTTCTGTCAGTGCATGAATGGTGGGATTTGTGCTGATAAACTAGAAAATAAATGAAGCGGAAAAATTACTAGAGCAGCCCATGATAAGCTTAATCTGATAATCTCAAATTTGCTGCCTACATCAGTTTCCCAGATTTCATATTCAGCTTATCTGTTATTAAAACTTATCTGTATTTGATCATTAATCATGAATGTATTCTTTCTGAAATAATCGTGGATGCTCAAAAGATACTAGGAAAGTCGGAGACTGAGAAAGAATAGATAAACACTGCAGAAATATTTTAACACTGGACAGCCTGGCAGCAGTGAACTCTGTGCATTTGAAGAAGCAAAGATTGTAGGTTTGAGCTTAAAATCTGTCTTGGCTTCTGCTTTCAGCATTTCAACTCCTCCTGAGGAGGATTCCAGGTTTCCACTTGAAAATAAAAAGTGTTGCCCATTTTCCCAGAAAACAGGGGTTTCTGTCTGTATTCTGTGCTCCTGTACTCGTAAAGAAGAATAAAACTTCTTACAAGGCTAGGCACTAGATGGAATATGCAGTGTGGGTTTTTTTAAAGATGGAAGACTACTTACTATGTTGTTTGTATGATGGTTATATAAATATGACTGAAATTTCTCCCATTAATGTGAATAATTTGTACTTCCTTGCTGTGTAACCTAATATGTACTGCCTTACACTTCTGTCACTAGAGGCAATACAGAGCAGTTGATGGAAAAGTAGACTTAGACAAAACACCTTTCATTTTTACCTTGAAAGAGTTGCTAAAGGGAAGAATTGAAGCAGAGGGAGCACAGTGAACTAGACAATGAGAGGGTCTTATGCATTCATAGCATGTGTGGGAGAGAGCAGTTACTGTTTTGCATTACTTGAGAGAAACAGTTCCACAGCAATCTTACCAGCTATTCTTTGGTATTTTCGTAAATTGCAGCAATATGAAATTATTAGCTGTATGTGCCCTGGGGGCAGTCACCCTGCATGTGTCACCTTACTGACTGCACCTGAAGCTGGGCAGCAAGCCAGCCCTGGCTAGGGTGGCTATGCTCCTTAAAATTAAGGAGGAAAAATCAGAGCAATGCTGAGGACTGCAGGGCTGACCACTGCCTCACCCAGTCTAAACTGTGGCTCTCAGTGATCGTGTATGTGCTGGGTATCAGGCACCTATCAAAGCCTCTGGTAGTGCAAGGCAGAAGGAACGGCTTCTCCCATGTGAAGAAAGAAAAATATTTGGCTGAAGGAGGAAATAAATCACTGATTCCACAGTCTTTAAAGTTACACTCCCATGAAAGACTGAAGTGTTGATTATTTTTAGCAGGGGAGAGCCTAGGGGGAGGGCTTGTCAAAATAGATTAAACCATTGTTAGGAGCAGAGCAGAATTCTCCTGCAGCACTTTCCTTTCCATCACACCTGCATCCTGATGTGAAATAAAAAGTGTGTGCATGGTGGGGGGAAATGTGGAGGAGGGAAAAGCTGCACTTGGGAGAGCCGAAGTGGTAGCAGTTAGTGATGGAGTTGTTATTTCCTGTCACTGCTTTTACCCTATTAGTTTCTCTTATGCTGATTTCTTTCTGTTAATCCCCAGGATAGCCTCTGAGAGTTGTTTATCATCCTGGGGCAAAATGGTTCCAGCCTGCACTCACCACTTTTTCTTCCTGCACGAGGTGCTGCTGATATGTCTAAGTGTACAGAAGAGCCTGAGGACAGAGTGGGAGGATGTTTTCTCCTTTTCGTAATCTCTCCGGGCCCATTACTCTTTCTCAGCTCTGTTCTAGTTTTCCCTGCTTCTCCCAGGCACCCAGGCTGTGAGAAGCAGTGCTGTCATGCTGCAGCAAACAAAATGCTGCACAGCTGCTGGGGCATTCATCCATGCTGGGCCAGGTGCTACCTAAACTTCCATTTTGGAACACATGTTTGAACATTGTTCAGAGCAGTCTGGCCACAGTGGGATGGCATGGGTGTGCTGGGCAGGACAGGGTATTATTCAAGGCTGCCATTTGCCAGTTAGGTTTTAGTAATTTCCTGGCTCTGCTGCATGACTTATCTCCCAGACTGGGACGTAATCAAACAGGAGAGCACAGGAGAGCTGCAGAGAGAGAAGGTATTTGGAAGGGCAGCTGGAGCTTCAGACAGCTGTTGTGGCAACACCTGGAGCAAGAGTGTGAGGTGCCTTCAGAGACTACAAATTATGGTACTACCCAGTTTGAGTCTCTCTTCTCTTCTGCCCTTTTGTTCAATTGTTTAGGTCAGCCTTTTACAGAAGAAAATATTTTAGGTGGCAGTCCTTCACAGAAGACTTCTGTAACTATTCAGGCCCGGTACCATGCCCTAGTTTGTATTGCCCTACAAATCCTCTGCTTATGGTCTTTGAGTCTAAAAGAAGAGGCTTGTACATAAAACAACACCATATATTTCCTAGTAACTAAACTTTGGGGGTGAGGAACCAAAGAACTATACAAGCAGATAATCCATGTCTTTAGAAGCCTATCAGCATAAAAGTGGAGTCCACTGGGACCCCCAGCTTTGCACGGAGAGATAGTGTGACTGAATACTTTCTGAATACTCTAGAAAATGCTCCTTTAAAGCTGCTCGGATGATCTTTCCTCC